AATAAAATTAATATCTTTAAATAAAAAATTAAAAATTTACTATTTAATTTGTAAACCCCTCATCAAATTCTTAGGTTATTAGGTTTCATAATCTACAATTCTATAAAGAAGCATATAATAATGGCTTAATTTTTATTACTACAAGTAACAATTTTGATCCCTTTTAGTCTTTCTATGGGAATCACAATAATACCATCTTGACCAAATTATATGGTGATAAAACAATTATTATTATTATTTTTTGGTACATAACAATTGTCTTATTATTTTGTCTTGTTTTCTCTCTTTCATTCAAAATGTATAAAGTGGCTGCATTTCTTTTTATAAAAATATTTTTATTTTGTATCTCAATTCGTCTACTTTGTGGCCGATGAGGCCTTCTCACTAAGGATGCAGATGTTGAGGCCTAACAATCAAGGGCAGAATTAGGATGTATTATTAGGTAGGGTGTATTAATTTTTTATATAATATATTTTTTCACTACTGGAAAACTAGGCAAATATGACAAACACATATTCGACAGCCAAGTAGTTGTCGAATAAAATACCATCTTCGACAGCATTACTCTCGAATAAGGTTGATTGTCGATCATAATCAATTTTTTGGTTCATAATCGACAGAAAACTTATTCAACAATTATTCTGTCAAATATATGGTTTTATTCGACAGCCAATTGGCTGTCGAATATGTATAATCGACAGCCAACCGGCTATCGATTATGTTTTTTTATATATTCGACAATATTGCTGTCGAATATATAGGAAACGTCGTCGTTTCCCCTATATATTCGACAACAATGCTATTGAATATACTCGACCATTAACCCCCTGTCCCCCCTTTCTTTCCCCATTTCTTCTCCTTCCTCTACGACATATCTGGTTTGTTTTCTTCAGCCCTGTTCTTGCCGGTGCCGCCAGATTCTGGCTTTTTGCCATCGAGCCCCCTGCCGTCGGAATATCCGGCCGGTGAGTTGGCCCCTCTTTGCGCAGCGATCTGGTGTTAATGTTTTTTTTTTTCCTTTGATTTACATTCGGGCATTTGCAGATTTCCTTGTAGATCCGTGCGTTTTGGTGCAAGATCCATCACCTTTAAGCCTCCACGCGCCTCCATCCTGCCTTTTGTAAGTTGCAGTGCTCTCTGTTTTTTTTTTTTTCATTTTTTTTTTGTTTCTTTCCTTATTTTTTCCTTGGTTTTAGTTTACAAAACTTTAATTTCGTTTTTGGTATGTCAAAATCCAGCTTTTATTGCCTTTATTGCCTCCACAGTATTATGGTCCCCATTGACAGAGGTAATTGATATTTTTGTGATTTTTTTATTCAAAATTATATTGTTTTATTTGTAGATTGGTATAGATTATTATTATTATTGTATAAATTATTAGTAAGTTGCTGTTATTTATTTCAAGTTTTTGAAATTGAAATTCGTACGTTAATTACTTACTTAAATAGTTTTTTTTTTAGTAAATTTGTATATACAAAGTTATGGATTTTAGATTATTAAATTTGAAATTAATATTGAGATTGATGTCTAAATATCTTGAAATAGAGTGATATTTATATTGAATTTCTATAGTTATAAATTTGTTATTTATTTCAAATTAGCTCAATTTAAGAGATTGATATTGATATTGAGATTGAGATGTGCATTATTATTGAATTAAAATGATATTTAAATTGGATTTTTATATATCAAATTATTAAGATTAAAATCGATATGGTAATTAAACTAGAGTATTATT